GCATCCCTTTGTGTGGAAGGGGGGCACAAAGAATGTGCAGCCTGGCATTCAGACATGGGGCTTTTCTTCCCCTCCTGTGTCCCACTGAGCAGAACTCACTCTTGGTATCCACTAGTCAAGGGGTCAAATTTGTAAAGAAAATCAGAAATATCTTCTTAGTACTTATATAAAAATATATTTTAAACAACAACAAAATTTCTTTAGCTGGTTATATCCCCTCTTGTTTGCTCTGTTCTTGTACAGAGGATGCCAAGAGTAACCGAGAGGCTCCCCCACATCTCACAAGCTGCCAGCACAGAACAAAGTGGAGGATTTCTCATGGTCCTTGATGCAAATGGTTGAAATGCAACAAACTTAAGGTTTTCCAAGGTCCATACTCCCAGACAGGACCAAGCTGGAACTGCTCAGGCTCTCAGCCAAGCCTGGCATTTTGTAGGGATGGTCATCACCCTGAAGCTTATGGACGAGCACGGTGCAAGTAGGGCTGATGTGGAGAGACCCTGCTCACATTTGACTTAGGGCAAGGTTTGGGCTTGGAACTAGCAATTCAGGAGTCGCCATTCAATGATTTCAACTGCAAGATGTCAAAATCCTTCGTGTTCAGCTCCTCACCAATACTTTGCCATGTTTCTGTCTTAGAAACCAGCTTGAATGTTGGAACCAAACCAGTTAAGTCATTTGGGGTTTGCTGATTTGACTGACTTCACATAATTTAAAGAAACTTGGATATAAACACTAGTTTTTAAAGATGCCAGGTCTAAACAGTTGGTTTAAAAACTGAACAATAAACACACTTATTAACTTGCCACAGAAGATACACACATTGAATCTGCGTTAGTTATTTGGCAACATCATGAATGCTTTCTTCAAACTGATTTTGTGACTAAACACTGCCTACAATAGCAAATGATCCTTCTGAGAAAAAATATCTTTTAGAACTTTGGGATTCTTATTGTTCATTCTTCCCTGAAATTCTGTTCAGCTTTTGCTCTAAATTTTTCATGGAAAACAAACAAACACACTGTTTTTGGATGATGCTGAGATCTTATGAGATTCTGCTAAACTCTTTGTTTTATTTTTATTTTTTAATCTGAAAATTATTCTGATTTTTAATTCAGAGCTCAAATCACCTGACCAAAAATCTAAGTTTTGACACATTCAAACAGTTTCAATCAGTGTGAGATGATACTTTTGGACTAATCAGTGAATTGCAAGTATCATTTTTCTTATGCCCAACAGGAAGAAATAGAACAAAAGCTCAAAATGTTCAATGACCTGAAAAAATCTATTTTGTGCCAGCTCTGTTGATCGAGCTTTAAAACCAGGGCTGGCAGTAGGAGGACCCTGAAGGAGCCTCACCCCATTGAACTGAATGGACCACTGTGTTCTTAAGGGGCCAGTAGTTTTCCAAGCAGATTTTTTGCATTTCACCCCTAATTTAGAAAGCAAGCAAACATGCAGCTGATATCAATTTTTGACTAAATTGTCTGTAGGAAAGAAGCAGAAACCTCGCTGCTCTTGATCAGATATCTTTTCAAGGCCACAGTGTATTTTTCAATAGTTGAGTTGTGTTGAGTTTAGTGCTGCCATCTCAGGGAAATCTGAGAGGAACAAGGTTATTTAAAAAAAACATAGAAACAGCAAGTACTATATTTCGGCAAAATGTGACAATAAACAAACAGCAAAAGTCAAAAGATAAATCACAGTTGCTGAAGGGACCTCCAAGACTTTATAAGCCTTTCTACTTACTATTTACCTCCTCAGCTCTACCTTATTTTGCCAGAAATGATATTTTGCTGATTTATATTTTTTTTACTATTGTGGGCAGGAGGTCTATAAATTGATCTTTATAAGTCCTGGTAGAGTATCTATATTATATCCTGTAGGTATTTCTAGGTTTGTATATAACACCAGTGCAGTCTACCATGGCAGGCAAACCACCTTGAAACCTAACGTTCATGCCACTGGGCTTCTAGTCACTGAATGAGTGACTAGTCACAAATCTTTGAAGAGAAATAGTACTGATGACACCAGGTGACACATTGAAATGGGCCCCTAAGCAGAGCTTTGCATGTCGGGGTTGGGTGCACTCTCTCTTTTTTGAATCATTGCTAACCTGAGAGAAATGTTCATCCTTCTTTTTGCCTCAAAACGAATGAGAAACATCAAACAAGAAGAGGAATTAAATTCAGGTGGGGAAAACAAAACAAACAAACAAACAAACAAAAACAAACAAACAAACAAACAAAAACAAACAAACAAACAAAAACAACAACAAAAAAAACTTTTTTAGCTGCTGTTGTTGTTTTTAACACTTCAGTAATTTAATTCAGAAATGTAATTTGATTTCTGAATTAAATGCTTTTTCAGAATGAAAAATCCAAACATTAATTTCACAAAAGTCAAAGGGAAAAGCACTAAACATTCTTTTCTAATTTGACCTAGGATGATCTGCTGAACCTAGCAGTGATTCATGAACACGTTTGCTTGGCTTGGAATGGAGCTGTTCCCAGCACGCTGGGCAGAGTGGTGGTGGGGATGCTGAAATGTCAACTTGTGCTCAGCCCAATGCTCCCCGTGCCATGTCACGCTCACCAGTGAATGGTGATTGATGGCATGCATCAGGTGTCAGGGGACACAAGGCGTCATGGGTGACAAGCACATGGCCGGGGTGTTTTGCTACTGTGGCGGCCCCAGAGCATTCCTGTGCAGTCACCAACTGCAGCACCTGTTATGAGGTCCTTCCTTGGCTCGTGCTGAACCTCCTTGGCGCTCCTTCATTCCTGATGGTGCCAATGAGCTTCTGCTGGGCTCCAGGAGCTCCAGTTCTGTCATACACAAGGGAGTCATAGCAATGCAAGGCCCCTCTGTCTTCTGACTCTCCTCATCCTGCAGCACCACTCTCCTCACCTGCTCAAGAGCAACTCTTTTGCAAACGGGCTTCTGACATTTGTCACACATAAAACATCAGCAGAACCATTCAAGAGGTGCAAATTTTGCCCCGACCGACTCTCCTAGGATGTAACTCAAGACATAGAGGTGGCTCAATCTACCTGTCAGCCTCCACCCCCTGCCATGCATTTTTTACTGTTGACTCTCCTATTTTTTGTCATGCTCTCTGCTTGTTGTCTGAGACGAGATGAAAGATTTTTAATAGTGATGGCATACAGCTCTAGAGACAAAAGGGCCTATTCTTTTCTTATCTTGGATGTGTTAAAAACACTCTACCTTCATCCTGCTACGTTCAAAAGGAGACAAAAAGTGAAACGAAGTGAACGATTTTTCAGCACCATTAATAAAACAACCCCAAATGATATAAAATAGCCTTGCTTTCCAGCCCCTTGTTTCACATGACAAACACTGTACCCATGAGCTTTGGCTTCTCTCATGAAGAGAGAGAAAACCTTCAGAACTTTTTCTGGGCTCTCAAACTTCCAGCGTGGTTCGTAGGGGCTGTAATTTAGCCCCAGGCATTTGAGAATCTACTTTGTGTGTTTTGGCAATGACATGAAAATGCAGAGAGAACTGTACATCTTGCAGTTGTATGCTGAGCTAGGCGATCTGAGGGGCCTGTCTATAATAGAGGAATCATCTTTTCTTCAATGAAGTGCTACTATTGTTGTGATCTTCAATAAAGGATATAATGGACGCATTCATGTGGTGGCTGTTGTTTGTGTGTCATTCTTTCAGCGTACGGCTAAGCGCACAAGAGTCTTTTAAACTCTTCTCTACTCAGATCCAGTAGTGCTAGCATTTTGTGCCAAACTAGGTTGGTTTTCCCCCTGCAAGCTTTTTTTCCTATTATTTTTGGATAAAGCCAATTGACCATGAAATACCTCTTTTTTGCAAAATGATATCTCCAAGCGCTCACTGTGGGATCATGGGTCAAAACAGCAGTGTAATGCACATTTGCGTGGAGGTGCAATTGGTTTAAATATCCCTCTTTCTAGAAGTAGTCAGTTTGGCCCCTTGTAGACACTATAAGAAGCTGATATTTATTTGGGGGTCAGAAGTAATATTCAAAGCTTTGCTTGCTTCTGGGTGCCGTAATCATATCAATAGCCCTTTTTTATATAAGTCCGAACTGAAGCTTTCAAGTGAGTAAACAGCATCCCCAGGACTTAATAGGGTGACCTGAATAAAGTTATTTCCTTCTGTTTGATTACAGCATGGGGCAGGGGAGAGATTTTTCAAAGACAAAAGGCAACAGTTGTGTCTGCGAAGACAGAAATTTGCATAAATCCACAGAGTAATGGCACGAGCAAAGAACATTTCAGCATGCAACTGTGTGCATGCACTTAACTTACCACAGATGCAATCACAAATGTGTGGTCAGATAGCTGGCCCCAAAGTAGGGTCCAAGCTGTGTAAAAGGGTGCTGAGCAAGGGTGTAGCCAGCAGCTGATGGCTCTCATGGGCCATGAGACGATGCTAATTTTTCAACCATACAACAAGACTTTTAAAAGAGGGGTAGGGGAGGAAATGTTACCTTGAATCAACTCTAAAGAATTTAGTTGAATCAATAGGCCTACATTTAAATAAGTTTAGATGTAATTATCCGTTACAAATCTGGTTTTCTGCCTTGTTAGCCGGAGATCCTAGGCACTTTCATTTAAAATTTGTACCAATCTCAACCTCATTTAACTACACAATGTGAACAGTTTAGGGGAAGAGAAAAAAAAAAAGAAAGAAAAAAGAAAAAAAAAAGAAAAACACAAAACCTTCCAACATCTCAACATCTTTTCTTTTTAGGTGAGTTGAAAAGGATGAGCACCTAGCAAGGTTTTTTCTCAAGTCACTTTTTAAAGATTGTTATTATCTTTTCATATTAAAGTTAACATTACCATATGCTGTTGAGCTTTTGTTGATGGCGATGCTTAAACTGGGATGTTGTTTCCTTTGGAGATTCTTACTGCCAGTCATTAATTTACATTTTTTTGAAATCGTACAGCGAGTGCTTTGTTGATGCCTGTTTTCATTTTGTTTCTCTCTCTTTTCAGGTCACACATGAGGAGTTTTTTCAAACAGCAAGTTAAGGCGATGGAATGAAATCAGTGACATCTGCCACTCACACTCTCTCCCACCATCCTGTTTACCCATAGCCCCCCTTTTTTCCTTTTCTTTTTCTAATGCTCGTGGTTTTCATCCCATTCAATAGCCACCCCCAATTCCACTCCTGACCCCCCAGTTTCCCCAGTAATTACTCTGGGGAATGCATTTGAATCTGAATCTCTCTCCTCCATTCTTTGGTCTTTTTTGCCTGTTGATTTGGAGATGTCTTAATGTTCCATTTGAGCTGAGTTGTCTCCCTTCATAAACTTCAGTCATGTCCATTTTTATTTAGTCTCCAAGGAAATCAAAGATCATGTCATGAAAATGATGTGTCCAGCATTTAACATGATCCCATGCTGATTGTCACAGGCTTCTAGGAATTGTCATACTCTGTGTTTCTCCCTTCCCTATTGTGGTTGACCATCTCCATAACAATTTAAATAAATGAAATCTAATTAAAAAGAAAAAGAACAAAACTGCCTCCCCACTCCCTCTTTAAAAGCTGAATGAATAACATTGAATCCTCTCCAGTAGAAAATTTATGAGGCTGAGAGTTAGGGTCCTGATCCTGAAATCTTTACTCATGCACTAATCCTCACACACTTGATTTATCCTTTCAGCTTCAGTTCACACAATGACTCATAAAAATAAGTGATGTAGGATCGGTCAGAAACTTCAGAAACTTGAAAATGACACAGTTTTCCCAGTGTTTTCTTTCATTATTATGATTTTTAACTACTGCCTATGCAGGCAGAGAAAATATATTCAGCACAGAGTTCTTTCCTCAATCCTTACTCCAACAAGTAAAGAGAGTAGGAAGAGATGGATTTGATGTGACAAGCACACAGCTATACCTTTTAGATTTCTTCAGCAATAGAATTCTTTGCCTTGTACAAGATTGGGACTGTTGCCAAATGGACCATCCCATCGTGCATCCCTTTTAGAGCATGGAAGTTCTCTATCACAATGCTTTAAACTATCTATTTAGGACAAGCTGCTTCAACAACAAAACAGCAACAACAACAAAAGAGGAAGAGAAAAGGAAACCTAGATGCTTGTTTGCTAGTATTGCAAACTGTTTGCAATAAAGATCACTACCAAGAAGGAAACAAAGGAAATTTGAGACTATAGTAAAGCCTGATCTGTTTAATATATGCCCCTAAAACTTAATGTGCACAGTTAGGATCAACTTAAGTGAAGTACTCTGTCACTAAAACTCGGATCGAAACAATCCTGCTGTAAAGTTTCTTTCCTGATGTCATTTTGAAGTGAGAAGAGGAAAGAAGAGAAACAAATTGACACGTACTGTGATAAATTCCTGTAATGGATTAGAAACAGTGCATTGCTGACACTGAAGTCAGAAGAACAGAACAGTTTGGGAAATGGTTCAGAGATGCTGGCTCTGGTTATTTCTTCCAGTGGAGTAATAAGAATGCTGGAAATTTGCCTTGTGTGTGTGTGATCTGAACTCAAGTCCCTCTGGAAATGCATTAAAAAAAAGGGAGGTCTCGTTGCTAAAGGGTATTGTTTGGAAAATTACACAAAACAACAACCAGCAGAAGAAATGGCTTTTGTACACGATGGGAAATATCAGGAATGGATAAAGTTATTCATACTAGGCTGAATTCTCATGTCTTCCTTCCTATCTGAAACTTAATAAGAAGTAAAGGGAACTTAGGATTCGTCCTGCTGCTGCCTCCCAGGTATTCAGCTCAGAAGGTCCCATCAGGATTTCAGGAAGGTCAGCTATGAAGACCGCTGGAGAGGTGGAAGATTGCTTGCTGACTGCCTAGAATCACATTTATCCTTTTTCCTTCCTCTACTGTTTTGGGTAGTAAATTGTGGTACACTTAGGAGGTTACCCTCCAACATCTGGGAATCATTTTCACACCAAATGATGGAAAGACAGCCCTCAATTACACCACTGAATCCCTCCCCACTGTTGAAAACAGCACGTCCACATGTGTGTACCCCACTTGCTGCACGATCAGGGGTAAACTACCGAGAGGCTCCCCTTCTTTGCTGCAAGCCCACATGAGGGAATCTAACTTCCCTGGACTCTACCCACTGAGCAGCTCCTGTCCTGCAGGAACATGCACTTTTGTGCCCCCTTCCCTGCTTGCCCAACTTAGGAGGAGATTTGTGGATGCTCTACCTCTCCTGGATTCTGGCTGCTGCTTCCTTGCCCTCCCCAGAGCATCATCTCACCTCTGTGAGGGAATTGAAAAGAGCTGTTGCCTCTGTTGGATTGAAATACAGACATTTTGCCCCAAATGAGCAGTGTGTTTCAAAGCAGGAGGAAGCAATGGAAAGAGGAAGAGAAGGCTTTTCAAGAGATATGTCTGGCTGGTGGCTCTTAATGGAGGTGTAAAACTATACAAGTGTGAAATGTTATTATTATTATTTATGAACTACCCTACACACTGTCTGACAGTACCCAAGATATCGTTTTACTGGCACATGCAAAGCAGTGCGATTCTTTGGCTTCTTTCCCTGCTGCAAGCATACCCACAGCCTCAATGGGGTGTCCAGGGACCTGATGCCAGCACAGGGATCTGACTGACCAAAATGTGCAGTGAAGAACCGGAGGTCTGTCCTGAACAGGGTGAGCATGCAGAGCAGCATTCCTGGTGAGGGGTTTTTAGGCTGGTTCATAACCAGGGAGAGTTTGGTGTGTGAGACACACACAATAATGACGGAGCAGGAGATACCATCACTGGAAAAGCAATGCATAGTTTCATGCAATAACAGACACCCCTTTAAAATAATCTTCTAAGCAATGTGAACCTTGTGCTACCACATAACTCTACATAACCACCAAAATGGGGCAGAAGGGCAGGGGAAGAATCTCAGGCAGAACGTGAATCTACACTCAGAATAGGGGAATATCCAGGCAAAAGCAGGACCATGGTGAGGAGGCCCTGTGGGGCAGGAGAGGAGGGGAATGAGAAGTTAACTCTGGGCTGCTCTTGCTTTTTTTTATTATCTGCATGTATGTATGCAGCACGCTGAGGTTGAACTATGGGAAACCGGAGGACTTGGACAACCTGTGAGCTAGTCACAGGGGGTTTCCAACCAGCAGCAGAAATTTCAGAGCTAGAAGGTGTTATTTAGGGGCCAGAGGCACAGGCTCTCTGGCAGAGACAGCCGAGGGGCTGATCAGCAGCCCCCTCCCACCCGTGGCTCTCCATCCTGGCTTCTGTGTATGGGAAGGGGTCACCAGCTCCCCGCTGACCTGGTAATGGTTTGCCTTAGATCTGGTGTCTCCAGCAGCAATGACTTAAGTACTTTTAGTGGAAGAACTGCTCCGATGATCCTTGCTCTCCCCACTTCAGCAGTATAGAGGAGCTGTCATCAGGATTCATCAAACCTACTATTGTCCTCCCCCTCCCGCTTCAAAATGCTAAGATTTCCTGCTGCTTTCCTGTAGCTAAATACCAGAGATTTAGGATGAGCAGAGCAGCAAATCATCTGCTGGCTCTTGCTTCCTTTCTCTCCCTGTAAGCAGCATTTCCTCCACCAGTGATTTATGTTTGGTTCCTCAGGAAAAGGAGCTGCCAGGGGAGTGTTCAGCCTTTGACACCGCAGTCACCAGAGGCCTGAAGCTGAGCTTGTGCCTTGCAAGAGCAGTTGCATGGATGCCCAAAGCAACCAAGCCTACCTCCCTGTCCTCACTCCCAGCCCATTGCTCAAGGACTTTGTTGTTTTGTGCCCACTGGTTGTCCTGATTGATATGAAGGGAGTGTGACCATAATGCCTGTGAATGTCCAAGGCACTGCCACTGCATTGTGGTGCTGACAGAGGTGCAAAGCTCCTAAAACCAAACCCTTTGCCTTTGGCTGCAGTGGCTGAGTGCAGAACATGGAAGTCCAGAGTTTTCTTGCAGACTCTGCCATTGCTTCCAACCCTCACCATGCTGAAGTAATTCTTATGCTGAGCTTCCTAAATGTCCGAAAAATCCTTTGAGATCTTCAAACAGAAGAGCATGTTGCTCTTAACTTCATGTGTCCTCCCAGAGGGAACGCAGTGAGCTCGGACTGTATTCTGTGGTTTCAAGAGGAGCCCCTAGCATTTGGGAGTGGTTGTTGGTTTTTCCATCGGTGATGGCTAATGACCTTGCCACCAAAGAAGCAGTTCTGATTTGTCCATCCAAGCAGATAACCACATCATTACATATGTTGATCGTGCTCTTTTATTTTGACGAGGTGATGCAAATATTCACATACACCCAGTCAGCTGGCAGTTTGCTAGTGCCTATGCCCGAGTGCTGGGTGGAGCCGGTAAATGATCAGCGGGGGTGGACCACTTGCAGCTCTAGATTTTCATGCAGGACTTTTGTGTCCCACCCTGAGAGTTTACAGGTGACCTGCAAGGTGCTGTGCTTGCCCAGGAGATGTTTGTTGGGGGATGAGGGCTTTAAGATGATGCAAAGCAGCTGCTGCCAGCCTCACATGCTCTACAGCACTCTCTTCAAGCACCAGCTCCTGTCTTTGGGGCCATCTACCCCCAAGAAGCATCACCTCCCCCTGGTTCCCCCAGGCTGTAGGATGTACCCCACTGCCTTGGCTGCATAGTATAGGATTGCTGAGTAAGCAGCTCAAGCTGGCTTTTGTTCATTTTTGTAATGCCTCTCCCCCACATGCCACATTGGTCAGGAAAAGACCCCATTGACTAGCTCAGCTTTCCTTGGACTTTGAAAGTTTTCAGCCAAGTATTTCACCTAACATAGCTCTGTGTAGGGTACACAGATACTTCTGCTTGTCTGCTCCAACAGGTGGTCTTGAAAAAAAATAATGTTTCCTAGCTGAACTTTTATTCTGACTTGGGAAAAAAAAAAAAAAGTCTTAACTTGACTCTCCTAGGGTCTGTTTTATTTCAATAGGGAAACAACTTACTAATTAGGGTAAGACTCTTTAAGAAAATATGTTTTCTATTCCACTGATAGTCAGTTACAAGCGATAACACTGTTAAATGTAGTGCCTAATAAATCTAGAAAAACTACCCAATAAATGTAAGTAATAACAATGATTAACAATAAATTAAATGCAGAGAACTAGGAATGTACCACATTATTTTTAACTAGTCTGGTCCATCGGGTTCTTATTATTCAGTTTGTCCTCCACACCTGGAGTTTATTAGAGTGTAATACAAACTAAACAGTCCCTCAGAGAGGCCATTGGAAGGGCTTAGTATAAAACAATATACAAGTTTAATAGTGGTAACTGACCTTTTTTTTCTTTTGCAAAAAAAGTATCTTGGTAACTTGATGCATAAGGAAATGTGGTGCTTTTTTACATAATCCTAATGGGTAATTTTCTTTTTTTGCTTAATTCAGATTATTTTTATTCACAAGACAGCAAGACCTATGGCCAGCAGTCAGTGATCTCTTCTAGACATAAAATAGTTTCTCGAGAGTATTTTTCTTTCTTCACCCGTTTAAAGATCAAGCAAGAAAAAGGGTTAATGCTATATGCTCTTCAAATGATGATAGCATATAGTTAGAAATGGCTAAACTACACCACATTCATGCCTGGCAAAAGGTTTCAAGCAGCTTAAAGTTCAGGGTTGTTCAGACTCAAGTGGCTTTTGTTTGGCACAGTGCAGAGATAAGGTTCATTTGCTGCAATATGAGTCCAGGCCTGACCTTTAAACACCTCTAAAGTTGGACTAGGGGCTTTGGCTCAAATCAGTGTATGTTTTTTTTTTTTTTTTTTAAATACATACATATGAGTAACAACCTAATATTCACAATGATGCATGTTGTTTGGAGCTGGGATTTTTAGTTAGTTTTTCAGGTTTTCAGTCAAAAATGTTGGAAAATTATCGTTGTCTTTTTCTTTCTCTCTTCCTCCTCCTCCCTCCCATTTCTCTTTAAAAACCACAAGCTATGGGCAATAGTAAATCCACAAGACAAAAGATTCTTCTCTAATTTATTTCCCTGGATTTCCATTGTTACACTTATGCCATCTAATGGACTACAGTGATTTTCTGTCCTGTTCTGACTTTTTCAAATAAATACAGTTTAATCTTTCTGAGGTTTTTAACTGTTTTAAAAATTTAAAATTTCTGTTGATAAGATACATTTTTCCTACACAATGACCTGAAATATTCTGTGCTCCGTGTATTCAGTATTGCACTATCACTGCACACATACCCATGCGTTGTTTCAGACTAAAAATCCCTTTGTTTGGATGCCTTTATATGCTCTGAAACAGAATGGCTTGCAGACATTGACACTGCAAATTAGCCTATTAAAAAAAAAAAAAAAAAAGAAGCTCTGAGACAATTAAGGAAAATGTTAAATTCAGTGCTGTTTGGAGGTGCAAATAAGTCAACTAACATATGGAATTTGGAGCAGCGACAGAAATATTTCTTTATAGTCTACATTATCTTCAGACCTACTCATCTTGCAGGATTGGCTCCAATTCTTACTCACTCAAACAGTGATGCCAAAAACCACATACAGTTTGCTCACTGTAAGCCTTCATTTTATAATCAAAACCATTTTTATTTTGATTCACTCCCCCTTCAATTCAAGGGATGAGAAACTATTCCTTGGTTCTGCGAAGTTCATTTTTGCTTCAAACACAGACTTGTTTCATTGCTTGATCAAATGACCAGGAAAACACTACAAAAAATAACTAATATTTTTGGTACAAATAAAAGACAAGCACAGTGGACTATGATTTTTCAGGTGGGGTTTTGTTTTGTTTTTCCTAAGTATCTCTGGCAGGAAAAAAAGCCCTCAGAAGGAATATTTTTTCTGGATCCTTTTGCAAATGCAGCCAGGAAAAAAGGAATTTGCTGTTGCACCAAGAGGATTTCACTTAATGGATTATAAAGCCATTGGCCAATAAAGTTGGATCCATGGCCCCAGTTCTCTGTATGCGATCTGCTCCATATTCCTAAAAAGTTACAATGTGATGCAA